TTACCGTAATCATTTTTAACTAATACGTGACGATGAATATATACTTTTATCTACAACCACCACAGTAAATCGTCTATTATGTATCGTTTTGTTAATAAGTAAATACATCATTACAGATACTGTTACATAATGAAATCTAAAACTTTATCAAACTACCCATATTAGTCCGTTGCTACGTGATCGCCATGGTTACGATAAATAGTTTTGACATTTCAGAAATATAAAATCGCCATTTTTTAAGTTACAAATAGTATATTACATTACGAGTGTGGAAAATCACTTTTCACACAAGTGATGTACAATATTTTTCCTACGACCACAAAATAATGTCATCAAAAAAATGTAAAATCAAGGTTATTATTACCATAATGATTAAAAAGTATTTAAAAAAATAATCAACAATAATCGTATTTATTCAATTTTCATATTTTCTAAACAAAAAAAAAAAACTAAAAAAAAAAAAAATAAAAAAAAAAAAAATAAAAAAAAAAAACAAAAAATTCTGCCCCGCCAGGATTTGAACGCGGTCGAAAAATGCCAAAGTTGATAAGTTCGACGTCCTAACCACCTGAGCTAATAGCCCTTGTGTCAACTCAATGATCTAATCGGTTATGTATTTACCAGAATAAAGAGCAAACATTATTTTAAAATTATTTTAATAATAATTGTTAAAGATAAATATCTAGGATCTAATTTACAACAATTTCAATAATTTAACAATCATATCGATTTTAGTATTAATATGGACATTACATAGATCAAAATATAAATTAGGTGTTTGACATTTTGTGACAACTACTGCGGAAAGTAACATATTCTCACTCGGGTGGAAAGTAAATTCTTATTCATACGCGTGTGATATAGGGCACTTTCCATAGGACTATATAGTGTGATATGTGTCACTTTCCTAAGTGGTCGTAGGAAAATTATTTTTTTAAATGAATATGATTTCGTCAGATAGTGAAAATGAATTTCAAGAAACTCCCCTGAAATTCTTGAAAAAGCTGCCAATACTACTGAAAAGTTACTGCCAACAAAGACTTATTTCATATGATATAAGTCGAAAAAACTTCTTACAGCTTTCATTTAAAATTAATTTCAAATAAATGAAATGGAAAATAATTTTTCTTATAGATCACTATAAAATTCCAGTGACACACGTATTTGTTATTTGTTACCATTTAATAAAAATAGAATACGTGTGTTATAGTTCACTTTTGGACTATCTAGAAATCTGATATGTTTCAATTTTAAGTTACGATAAGCAATTGAAAATTTCAAATAAGCAAAAAGTAAATTGCTCGAGAGAAACGAGAAATTCTTGTCGAGAGAAGACACTCTCTGTTTTCGACAGAAAATGTCTCGTCTCGAGACGAGAATCTTTCGTCTCGTGGCAATACTCTCATTTGAGATTGAGTGTCATACAAATATTTTGAGAGTAATTTAACCACTTTTCTACTTTTGATTCTGATTTTCGCTAGGTTACAATTTTTCGTTTGCATATCAACCCTTTCGTTGACACCAACAAAATGCTTCCAACCGTAGCTGAAATCCCTACACCGGAACTAGCAAAATCGGATGACAGAAAATGCTTGCAAAGTGATATTTTTTATTGTTATTGACGTCTAGAAGCATATATTTTATTGCGAGCAAAAAAGAAAAAATCCATCGATAAGCAACTTTACTTTGAATTTGGCATCTCCCATCACCGGGACATAGTACATGTTGTTCACCCCCTTCCCTGTATCCAACTACAAATAACAACAAGCAAAAATGACGACGTTGCTGTCAGATGAGTCTATAGTATATTTTTTTTTTTTAACAGGAACGTTTTTTATATTTGATATCAGAGAACCTACGTTCAAATGTCCTACAAAAATATACATTTTCCATATACAATTAAATGCAATTTGTGAATTTTCGTAGATCGCAAAATCGAAATCCAAAAAGTTAGAATTATCTGAAATTAGGTTTTTTAATAAATTTGAAAATTCGGAAACAAACAATCCCCCCATGAATTATTAAGAACTACCATCTAAAATTTCCGTTAGGAATCTCGATAATCAATGTCTTGACAGCCTCACGGTATGGCACACGTCCGGTAAACATGATGATGTGGATTCTACTCCCGCTAATGATAGGTTTTTTTTTCAAATACATATACAAATATTTGTTTTCACATTTGGGGTCCGGGGATGGTCTTAATAATTCGTAGGATTGTTGAGATTTGTTTCCGAATTTTCAAATTTATTTAATTAAATGAAAGTTTGTTTATTTCCACTAGTACAAATGAAATCTAATATTAATAATTATAAGATCAAACAAACTTAGCTGAAGTGAAGTTCGATCTTAATTATATGATGCCTCGTCGAAGTAAATAAGATATATTGTCGACCCCTGTAATATACTTCGATTCGACCACGTAGTTGAAAGCTGGAACTATTTGATATATTCCCTTCTCCACCAATCCCCTCATCTCAACACTTTGCTTTAGTCATTTCACAGCATACTTGTTGCAACTTAAGGGGGACTTTAGAAATATTGGGTGGGGCTGGGACTTATTTACTTCGACGAGGCATCATATAATTAAGATCGAACTTCACTTCAGGTAAGTCAGGTTTGATCTTATAATTATATTTCTGCCTCTTCTTGTAAATAAGATATATTGTCGCTGTTTAAAGCATATTACAACAAAAATTACGATAAAACATTTTATTTATATTTAACTGATTACAAGTTAAAAAATTATATTGTCATAATTGACCCACTTTCTAGAAAACATAAAATGTAGAGGATTGTCATGTGCTCTAAGAGGAAAATTGCTCCATACCAAATACTCAAAATGAAGTTCATCCATAAGCTGATGATCTTCGTAGAGGCAGCATGATGCGGCTTCCTAATTATAATTACCCCTTAAGTCTTTAATTTTTTCTAAAGTTACTGACTTCATTGGTGGTAATATTAGTGTTGTTTGAAATTAATTGGTTTACTTCATTATTTATTTTTTCAATGTTTGCTTTATTAACATGATATTTAATAAATGGGTCTGCAAAAGGAGAGGGTATTACTTGTTTGATAGTAAACATTATAGAATGGTGGTCTGCCCCAATGTTCGGGATTACTTCTATATTCTTGATTTCGTTGATAAGATTGTCATTGTACAAATCTGGGATGGAGTCCTCATTGTTAAGCATCAAAAAAGTAGGAGAAGTATCCGCTTTAATAAAGTTTGTGTTACTGATAATAGACCAGAGCATACTGGCGCATTCGTTTGCAAAATTGTTTTAATTCGTAATTTTTTTTTGATGTCCGGGAGGCTTTCCTGATTATCAAAGTGTAAGATGACACTCGATATCTGTTGAAGTTATTGTTTAAACAACGAAAAATTAATTAATCCAGAAAAAATTAATTTTTTTTATATTAAATATAGGTGACGAATTCATTTTTTCAAGAATACGTCGCGATAATAATCAACCTATCGAGCTGAACGAGTGTAATTCACTGATTCTGTATTAGTTCGTGAAAGAACCAAACCAAGCCTTTTAATAATTTAACTATTCAAGTTCCAAGGCGAACCAGAAAACATCACTATAAATTTATTTTTTGGCAATAAGTCTTCGGATTTGTATAATATTCCTTCACTTTAAATAGAGATCCACTTAAATTATAAGGTTTTATGAAGATAATATAGTTCAGGTGTGCTACGACTCATGTTTAAGGTTTAGGTTTATGGATATAAACATACCTTTATTACTTAGGAAGGTGGTAGAAAAAGTATTTTCTGTATCACAAAGTTAACTTTTGCTACCACCTTCCTAAGTAATTCCTATTCTCGCAAATGGCTACTTTCATCATAATATATTTATTGGTTCTTTGGATCATGTTTCATAACATAGAACAAGTCAAAAATAGAAATACAATGACACAATGTAAATATGTACATTGTACAAAATTAAACACAAATATCAAATCATAAAATCCAAAATTTAAATAATCTGCCCCTTCCAGAAAAGCATCTAGCAGATATGAGGTTTTGAGGTTGCCAAATGCTAGGATAGCAACTGATGAAAAGTTCTAAAAATATACTATAGTAATTACTTAAACTTCAGTTTCTTTTTCATGAACAAATATTAATTTTTTGAATAAAATTTTAGTTTTTTAATTTTTACTGCACAGCTTTATTTTTGAAATGCATAAAATGACTTCCAGGTACACCAATGCATTTTATCCTAATACTCCCAAAACGTTCTTTTAAAATATACAGTAATAATGGTAAGTCAGCTTGATTTATTTTACCTTTAAATGTTAAATGCTTTATATATTTTTTAGTTTAGAATATCGTTAATTGTATTTATACTCTTTAATTAGGTGTTTAATCTGTTGAATAATTGTTTATACAGTGTGTTGCATAGGTAATTGTGCATACTTGTGAAATGTGAATAGGGGCCACCTATTGGACAACTCTCCCCGAAGTTAACCTGCAGGTTTTTAGATAAGATGAGAGGCAGTCTCTAGACACCTCTTAGCATTGCTATCGACCTCCTTTATGTCACTGGAGAATGTACTAGTCAGGCCTAATGGATGTGAGACTCAACCCAATCTTCCCAAATTATAGATACAGATAGGGGACACCTATTTAATTCCAATAATCTATCATTTATAGGACCCCTCTCCATATCCGAGATACTGTGTTTTTACTCATAGCTTTAAGATCGATATTTTTACAAAATTTACAACTTCTTCCGCTCACTTCTAATATCTATATCAATTTTAAAAATGTTGATAGAGTAGGACGTGATTTTCATAATATTTTTTCGGTCTGACCTGGTTTTCAATTCCCATGCTAGATATACAACGGCGCTATATATTAACATACAAAAAAACTACTTATGATACACCCTGTGTAAATGAAATATCACTGAACATATTTGCGAAATTTATGGATCTGTTTAATCGATTTAATATTAAAGATTTTAAATTATAAAATTGGTAACTTTCAGGTGGACAATTGGGCCGATAACGAATCGCTTCATACTCAAACTCACAAACCGTTATACAGGAGGTCTCTCTCGGAGCTGCCCTCCGCTCACAACTCTCACATACCGAACCTGAATCGCCGAAGTCTGGAGGGTAGCCCCCTCCTGGCCAGCTTTCCCAAATCCAGTACTTCAATGACTGACATACAATCTTCTCAACATTCCCAATTGTTCGATAATTTGAACAGCATTTGCGGCAGGAGCTATACCAGGGGCATATGTGATACGAATACTCTTTACACTTATATAGGTATGTATAATGCACTATATTGATGCATGATAAACTGAACATAATAATTTTATAATATTTAAATAGTGCAGTATATCTAATTGTTATATCCCTAATAGTTGTAGTATAGTTACTAGATTAGATTTTGATGTAGTCAATAATAAATAAAGATGTCAGATTTTCAATGATAATTTTAAGCATGGATCAAAATGAATTTCAGAAATGTCTAACTGCTATTTTCTATCAGTTTCAACAACCTCAAGATAACGTATGAACTACTTCGATTAATCCCAAGGTGCTAGCTACTACATCCTTTTGAAAATTTTAATGACCAGAAAGAAGATTTCAACACTTAACAACGCTTTGAAAACTATTTATGACAAACAGTATGCGGCACACTTATTACTGAATTCAATAGGTTCTTCTACTTACTCAATTTTAACTGCCCTGCTAGCTCCTAAGATACCTAATGATGTCGAATATCCAGATTTGATTAAAACTTTACAAAGTCATTTGTGTCCAAAAAAAAATGTTCTTGTATCACAACACAAATTTTTATCTACATATCAGCTAGAAAATAAATCTGTAGCCGAATTCGTTACTACTTTGAAGCAAGACACTATAAACTGTGATTTTATTTCACCATGCCATTGCAAGACAAGTAAAAGCATAATTTATTAGAGGTATACGTGATAATTCAATCAAGTGGAACAACTTTTGACGATTTTGTTTCAAAGGCATTAGCTAACGAGGCTTCAAAAATAGACAATCAAGCTTTATCATCCAACAGTGTTTCTAGTAACGTTAATAAAATAAATTATTCATCCAGGAAAAATTCACGAAATCAACATCAACATAGAGGAACATATCGAATGCACCATTTTTCCTTTGGTATCAAAACGCACCTTCTGAATTTAACAGAATCATTGATCAAATATTATTTGATTTACCCAAAACTGATTCTTATTTTGATGACATTATAGTTCATGGGTCAACTAAGGGGGAATGTCAATAAAACCTGATTGCATGTTTTCAAAGACTAGAAGATTTTGATCTTCAACTAATTTCCAGGAAATGTACATTTTTTGAGACCAGTGTTGAGTACCTTGGACATGTTATTAAGCATAACGAAATATCAAAATGTCCAAAAAAAGCTCAAGCCATTCTGAAGATGCCATAGCCAGTAGATGTTGATGGAGTTAGAAGATTTCTTGGAATAGTTACATATTATAGTAGATTTATTCATAAAATGTCTACTAAAACATATCCTTTTAGAAAGCCTTTCCAAAAAAATAAAAAATTCGATTGGAATTATTCCTGTGAATTTGCTTTTGTGAACATTAAACAAGAAATAGCAAGTGTTCAAGTTCTAGTTCCGTATGATCCAAATTTACCCTTAATTTTAGCCTGTGATGCTAGTACTACAGGAGTTGCTGGAATTCTTTCGCATCTCATCGATAATGCTGAAAAACCTATAGGATTTGCTTCAAAACCACTGATCTCTAGTGAGCAAAATTATAGTCAGTTAGCAATTATGTTTTCTGTTAATCATTTCTATATGTATCTTTTTGTCGTAAGTTTAAACTTGTAACTGACAATAGTTCATTCTGTAGAATTTTTCATCAAAATGCAAAACTTCTAGACTTCTGAGGTATGCCTCATTCTTATCTGGATTTGACTATGAAGTTGAATTTAAAAAATCGACTGATCATACAAATGTAGACTGCCTTTCTAGAGCTCCAATAGAACAAAAATATTCATCAATGGATACATTTTTAAACGAGAAGGTAAATCAAGTTTGTTATTTAACAATTTTGCAGATATCGTCATATAATTTGACTTATGAAAATATCCGTTCAGCAACTAAAAGTGATCCAGATTTGTCTAAAATTATACATGATTTAAAATCAAATAGCGATCTTACGATACAAGATGACATTTTGTTTAGAGGTCAAAGAGTGGCAATTCTAGCTAATCTTCAACCCATAGTTCTTTCCGAACTCTATAGCACTCATATAGGTATAACCAAAATGAAACAACTAGCCAGAAGATACTGTTATTGGAAGAATATCGATAAAGACATCGAGAAGATTATTAAATCATGTCAATCCTGTGTTGAATTCCATAATTCTCCATCTAAGGTACAGTTACACCATTGGAATATACCTTTGGATAACTGGGATCGTATCCACATAGATTACGCCGGACCGTTTTAAGGATATTACTATTTAGTTGTTTTTGAAGCAAAATCAAGATGGGCCGAAATAAAAATTTTACGTGATACGTCTATTTCAAGGAAAACTATCGATCTAACAAATATATATTAGAGTGCGAGTAAAATCTATTATAATTCTTGCATAAGCGATCCATAAACACACTTTGTCCATAACTGGTTCTGTGTCTTTTTATCGTTCAAAAGTGATGTATGCCGAGTCTGTCGCGCAGAAACTAATAATTGATCTATTTCAAGTTGTTTTGTCAGGCATATAAGTAATCTATTTCCTCTTGCATTCCAGACTCTGCATGCCACCAAATAATAATCTTGTTTGATAACATGAGTTAAGGTTATAGAATCGATGCTTAAAGATCAGCTATTTTATGAATTTTCATTGCACCCTTTCAGTTCTGTCAATATGACAGCTGTTACTAAGTTGTAAATTACAGAACAGTGTTCCAGAACACTTCTTACCAGGCAATTGAAAAGTGTCATAATTGCTTCTGTTTCTTCACGTATGTAATCTTTTGAAGAAGTCGAGCATTCTAGTGTTTTGCACACTATGGAATCTGTGTGATTGTTAAAAGACATTGTGGTATCAACAATAATACCCAGATCAGTAATTTTCAAGCAACTGCCTAAGTCGACGCTGTCAATACTATCACAATTACGAGTAGGATTATGGAATCTTGTAAAATGTATAGTTACACCAGATAACACACCTGTTTCGGTCAGACTGTAAGGCGAACTTGCTACTACTGTTTCTACTAAAAAATTTTCAGTCATCTGCGAGAAGAAGGCATTCGCTATTAAGAAAGCAAGACGTGACATCATTAAAATCGATATATTATGCTTGAAATTCTATATGTAACTCTTCACGCTTAAACAAACCCCCTTTTAACCCCCATTTTTAATTAGATTTTTTTCAGAATCAATAGGCATCATCCCTCCTATAATAAAAGCTTTATTTTTCAAGAAGAATTTAAGTTGATATCATTTTTTGTTTCTGAGATATTATTTTAATATTTTAATCCCTCTTAACCCCGTATTTTTATTCAGATTTTTTTTCATCTCCTTATAGAGCTTGATTTTTCCTAAAAATTTCAAGTTGATATTGTTTTTCGTTTTCAATTTATGATTTTTTTAAATTTTAAATTCCCATTTTAATCATATTTTTTCAAAATCAATATACTTCGTCCCCTTATAGAGATTGATATGTCCTAAAAATTTTAAGCTCATATTGTTTTTCGTTTTTGTTTTATGATTTTTTTTAAGTTTCAATCCCCCCTAAACCCTTTCATTTTTAATCAGATTTTTTCATAATCAATAAGCTTTGTACCCTTATAGAGATTGATTTTTCGTTTTTGACAAAAAACGTGACATCGGATGGACGGACATTTTTAAAAGTTGTTTAAAATTTGATGAGAAGGATTTTGGTAAAAAAATGTTTAAATTTGGATGAATATTAAAAATTTTGGTTTCTTGAAAGTAAACCGATAATACTCTTCACAGACTACCATGTGAAGAGTATAATAAGGAATAAATAGGAGACCAATATGTAAACTTTGAGGAATACTAAACATGACTGAAACGTCATCGGAATTATGCACTATGATACGTTGACAGCGATGACTCAAATGAGATTCAATCCAGTAAAGATAGTGAAAATAGCAATTGTGACAAACACTGTCGAAAGCTTTTGACAGATCGGTGTCGTTGGTGTCAACCAAGTAACCATTTTCAATTGATGAAATTAAGAAGTCTTGATATATTGCCAGATCAGTTGCTGTCGAGCGACCTTGATAAAAACCATGTTTTTAAATATAGTTTTCATACGTGTAAAACATCTGCTAGTATGGATTTAAATAGTTTTGGAATTATCAATACAATGGATATACCTCTATAATGCTTTATGTCGCTATTTCACCTTTATTTGAAACTGGCATAAGATGGGAAAAATTCCAAGCAGAGTGAAATGTTCCACTGTCAAATAATTTTTGGAAAATGTAGCTTAGTGGGATTGACAAATAGTCATAACAGCCTTTTAAGAACGAGTTGGTATCCCGTCAGGACCAGCATTTCTGCTAGATTCAAGACTTAATTATAGAAAATAATTCACTAGCAGGGAAAATGTGGGTGCCTACAGAGAAATAATACAGGAGGAAGATCAATTTTTTGATTTATTTTGGAAATGAGATGCAAAGACGTTTGCAATTTTTCCGGGATCCCTGACTTCATATTTTCCATACTTCATTAAATTAAATAATATTTACTATTATTCTCATCCTTTTTCTAATGATTTTGATTCATTGGTTTTATTTTAAAATGAGCCAGACCAAATAACCTTACTTGTTTGAGAATGGTTGCATTAGAGTTTCTAGAAAATTGATCGCCATTTAGCTCTACAAATCGGAAGGCTATTGATATAGAACTTATAAAATAACATAAAGAACTTTAAAGATCTTGGTTCACAAAACCAACCTGGCAGTCATCTTCAGAACTTCTAACAAGCTCTAATTCTACTTCCACAACATTCCCCTGTTGGATGATGAAAATTTACTAACTCTCCCATTTTCCCCCAAGACATCAATATGCCTCTCAAGCAGGCAAAACATACTGTATTTTTTCTCAAACCAGGTAAAAATCCTAAATCCATTGACTACTACTGACTCTAGTAGGAGAATCTTTTTTCGAGAAGAGGTCTGAAATGGACAACCTGAAAGTAATGTCAGTGCTGATAACTTATGAACATGAAATCGTTAATCTTCAATGACCTCCAGAATTTTAAGATTTCACTTCATTTGACTGTTTTCTCTGTCTATAAAATGAGATGAAGGTTCGGACTGCATGGTTTTACGTATTAATTATTTTTATTTATTAATGAATTTACACTGTTCATTTTTTAACAACTTTTATTAATTTGTTTAACCCTAACAGTGGCGTACCCGATATGGATCTTGGAGGGGGATAACAAAATTAAACATGGAACAAATTTTTATTGTAAATTTGAATATTTTATTTTATATAACAAAATCTAGTCGCCTAGTCCAGGAGTTGATACCATATTACATAACTGATCGATGAATTATCATCGACGATGATACAAGCAGAAAACTCGTTTTTATAGTGCCGCGAAAACACAATTTTGAGACAATTTAAATATTATTAAGTTACTTCTTATACATGTATGATGTATTTGATTTAGTAATTATTATAAAGCAATTTAGAGGTCTTTTACTCTTATTTTTCTTATGATCACTTTATCACTTTGATGATGTGTTTGAGTTTGCGGACGTGCTGGGACTTCTTGGGGGGATATATCCCCATTATCCCCCCGTGGGTACGCCACTGAACCCTAATTTCATAAATCAAACGTAGACGATTACTTTGTACATTTTGTTTAATTGAAATTAAAAGTTATTGGACTGTTACATTTTTCTTGTAATATAATATTTTATTATTGTTAAAAAAGCTATGTATAAAAGTTTAAGATCAGAATGATAAGATATAGGAATTATGAGCTATAACAATTGAGCAGAGATAGAAATTCTTTATACCTCATTTATTTGCATCTTTGCAGTTATTATAACTGGTCCACTTATTTAATGTTAAGTAGCATGCTATTAAAACTTAACATATATGCACGTATTAATATTTTATAAGAAATTGTAAGCTACCTTTTCAGGAATCTCGGAACCAGATAAGGAAAAACATTTTTACGAGAATCACAGTATTATTGATGCACAGAAACGGAATATGGAGTTCGATGCTGATAAACATAGTAAAATGTAAGTTGGAATTAAACGCAGTTACTTGTTTTTAGTTATATGACATTTACGGGAATAATTTGATGAAGGGTTAAATGAAATTATTTTCTAAAAACGTACCTAACTTAGCATTCTTATAATTTAAATAAGTATTTTTTTTATTAAAGGCTATATCTATATATTTATACATCATGTTCTTAATTATATTTGTTGCATCTTGTTCTGCTCTAGAATGGTCTACCGATGATCCGAGATATTGTGCCCAACAAACACATTTTGTGTAGGGGAATAAATGGCCCAATAGCTGTTACCTTTCAATTGTAATGATGGCTATTTGACTTTTATAATTAAAAGGCCGGCATATATTGGTCACTACGGCCGACAGTCGTGTCAAAGTCACTTACCAATCAAATCCATCTCCTTTAATTTCCGTAGAAATAAATATATTGGCAATTAATGGCCTATTGGTGAACGGTTAACGGGAAACTGCCGACCTTCTACCATATTAATACTATCTGAATAAAAGGCATACGACCAAACAGGTGATTCGGTAGTGCCTCTCTTTGACCGGTAGCACCGTTTGAACTATAAATTCTATACTAAAACAGAAGGCAGTCCAATATAGAATATAACCACATGTACTTGTTCACCGACGCTCGCATTTCCGAGCATAGATGAATTTATGTGTTATATGCCTTGCCTTGATCCTTCTTCTGTTCTAAAACTGAAACTAATGAAACTACTTTACCGATTACTTCCCAACAAAAGGCCAACTTATTAGCTGATGATAATCTGACATCAATAGCATTTAAAAGTCTTTTCACTTTTACCATGTTTCTATCCAATAAAGTTACTTGTCCTTCATACGTCTTTCATCAATCTTTCATCAAACAGAACGGATGTTATGCTTCCAAAAAGGGCTGATTCAAATAATCAAACTAAATAAATTAATAACGTATTTGACACCTTACCTTTTGGAATATTGGACTGATCGGCGAGCGGCACACATGAAGCAAGGGCACAAATATTAAGCGACGGCGAACGAACTTGTTACTTTGTTGGCGATACATCGATGTCTCTTGATTCTTTGAAAAGGTCCAAAGCATGAACCGTTTAGGTGGGGCAAAGTGTCAAAATAGATAACGCGAATTTAAATTAAGAAATTAATAAAGAAAATAAATCCATTCTCGAACAACATAACAATGTGCCACTATCGGAAGGCCAAAAGTAGGCTTTTATCTTTTAAGTAATTTGAAAATTCGGAAACAAATCTCAAAAATCCCTCTACAAATTATCAAGACCATCCCCGAACCCCAAAGGTGAAAACAAATACTTAAAAAGCCTTTCTTTGCCGGGATTCGAACCCGCACATCTTTGTTCTGTACACAAATGCCCTTGCCTCTAGACCATGACGATATTGACTTTCGAGATTCCTAGGCTTAGAATGCATAATTGCATTTCCCATATATACCGATGCTGCTGAAATTTAATTATTTGAGAACGAGCTTGAAACGGCGTCGGACCCGAATTAGAACATCAAATTGCCGTCTAGGAATCTCGACAGACAACAAATCTCCAATCGAGTATTTGTGTTCACATTTGAGGTTCGGGAATGGTCTTAATAATTCGTAGGGAGATTTTTGTCATTTGTTTACGAATTTTCAAATTTCTTACAACTTATTTCAAATAATTTTTTCGGATTTCGATTTGCGATTTTTATATATTTTAATCGCCGCATTCATTTTCCCTTCAATAACAGCAAAAAGCCAGCAACGTCTCGGAAATTCATTGGTTGTCGGGTGGTATTGACAAGAACCTTTGCTAATAATGTAGAGAACAGAACTAGCTGTCTAAGGGGTATCAGAAGCATAAGTCAAAACCATATATTTTTTGGCTCTTTAACCAATACGTTGATACTATTAGTGATGATGTAATTTGTGTTGTTTGTAGACTAAAATATCTAGTTTAAATTTTTCATAATTTAATTATAAAATGTTTTAATTTAAGTTAATTCCCTTTTAGTTTAATTTTTAGTACAAGTTAATTTCCCCCTGATAACGTTCTGAGGAACCCCCGTATTTTTGTTTCTTAATAATTCCCGGTTTTGAACATATATGATAGTCCCCATAGTTTAAAATATATAATTATTTGCTGAAATTCGAATCTAGCTTTAAACGCTCAATTTCATGTAAATATATGTTTACTTTCGCAAATGTCAAAACAACATTTTTTTCTGTCCTTCGAGTGGTAAATATTGACTCCGACCCAATCGGAAACCGAATCACTCCTAATGTAACGCATTTAATCAGCTCGCATCGAGCACTCGTGTCTCTTTGCTGCCTCTCTTGCTGTTAACTCTCTTTTGCTGTTGACTCTCTTTTGCTGCCAATAATTTTTGACCACTCTTGTTCTGCTGAACCGTTCGTTAAATGAAAAATCTGTTTTGATTACCGCCGTTAGTGGAATATTTAAGGTACGTTGTGATCTACTTAATTGTCTTTTTTATTGTGTTCCTGAGCGAATGCCTCTGTGTATTATTCGAGGAACTTCTCAAAAACTGCAACTATTAATCAAAACCGAATTTTGGATCCGGCCTGGATTTTTCAGAACTTTCTTAAGAGATTCCAGCATTGGGATTCTCATCTTTCAATTCGGCACGTGTTGAGACGACTATCTTCCTTCCAGAGAATGCGATTTGAATGTAATGCCTCTCTCTATTTGATTCGTGATGAGTACGCGCATAAGAATCCCTGTCCTGATTTGTTTTATAGCGATCTGGCTTCGAAGACGGAACTTTTTAAAAACAGCAACCATTAATTAAAACCGAATGTTTGGATCCCGCGTGGAATTTTCAGAACTTTCGTATGATATTCCAGATTTGTTTTATAGCGATCTGGCTTCGAAGACGGTACTTCTTAAAAACCCCAACTAAATTTGAATTAAAACCGTATTCTTAATCCTCTGATCGGCGAACGGCAGTCCTCATGGTTGAATGGGCCCGTTCACTTTCATTTTTGAATGTGAATTATTTATATATTTATAAAGATATTAAACTCTTTTGTCTGGTGGTACTTTTCCCGTTAAGATATTTTTGCTAGAAGTAAGGGAATTCCCATAAAATTCTTTCAGTGACTCATTGCGTCAGAAAACCCCTAATTCCCTTCAGGTCTTGTATCGGTTAATAGTTAAAAGGGCGCGGTTGTCGGATGTATCATTGCACCACCATTCCTCTTCTGCATTTATTAAAGAAATTTAAATGATAAAAAAATATTATTTTTTAAAAATAATGTGTTTATATTTTCAGATAAAGCTGGAAGGCTTACCTTTTTTAAATTTTAATAAAAACAATTAGTATTACTCAAGCTGAATATTACCAGATCGAAATTTTATTTGAGAAAATGTATCTGGTAAACGTGACAACGTTGTAAGTACTTCTAAATAGTGTTGTCTACACACACTTCTAGAAATAAATGCAACGTTGCCACGTTTACCAGATAAATATTGCAAATCTAATTTCTACTTTTTGATTATGGTCTGGTTAATTTTCAGCCTGAGTAATAATAATTGTTTTAATTAAAAAGTAAAAAATAAGCTCCCAGCTTTAAATCTGAAAATATAAGTTCATGATTTTTAGAAAAATAATGGAATTTTACTATTTAAATTACATATAAATGCAGAAATGCTATATTAGGGATACTTCCGACAACCTCGCCGTCTTTCAGCATAACCGATACGAGACGTGAACGGAATTAGGGATTTTCTGACGCAATGAGTCACTGAAAGAATTTTATGGGAATTCCCTTACTTCTAGCAAAAATATCTTTACGGGAAAAGTACCACCAGACAAAAGAGTTTAATATCTTTATAAATATATAATCAATTCACATTCAAAAATGAAAGTGAACGGGCCCATTGTAACCAAACTGGATCCTTGTTCACTCGTCTAACAGCAAGCACCGATCGTCGGCGCTGGGTAGGCTTTCGTATAATTTTAATTTTTGCGTAGAGAGCAAAAAATGCGATAGCTAGAGATACTTTTATGCCTGTCCCTTGTTAAGAAGCTTGCAGAAACCATTGTCATTGTAAATTGAGTTATAATCTGCTGACTACTTAAATATTTAAGTTATTTTGGACTATGGTTTTGACTCATTTATACTGGTAACTGAGTCAGAAATTCCGAAGTGTTAAAAGCATTTGTCTTGCCGTTATTTATTATTTAGTTTCACTATTATTTTTGTGGGGAATTTGTTGTAAATAGAGACCGTTATTTTTTGAGTGTGATATTGCCCCGCCGAGGCCATTGATTTAAAATATTGCATATACATTTCCTGTGTTTTTTAACTATACCTTTTTATCTAGCTCGTCCAGAATCACCTTTAGGATAAAGATAAAGATACAAGGTTGTTACCGCTTAGGGAGTGGATATTATTATTATTATTATTTTTTTAATTTTATTTAGATATTACCCCATACTTTTACGTTTTTTATATATTATAGTTTTATGATTCCTTGTCAAACATAAAAGTAATTTATCTAAATCAGTTTTACAAATAATCTCGTGACACCCTTTTAAAATTCAAACCATGAAAGTTTTAGGTCATTTCTATCATTCATTTTTTCGATAATTTGTAACCTTGACCGTTTTATGGGATTTTATTTGTTTTGTAGCTCTGTTAAAATGGATTCCGATTTAATGTTCGTAAAACGTGCGTTTGATCATTTTTTTTTTTAACTTTCAATCAAGACAATAGATAATTTTCTTAGAATTAATAAAATCGTATTTCATCAACTTTACTTCATTTTATTGAATAATTTGTTTTCAGTTTTTCCGCACGTTTAATTGCTCTAAAAAACTATAAGGAAAATGTTAAATTTTTTTAGATAAAATATTTAAAACAATATTATAAAGTATATTCTTATAAAGAAATTACTTAGTCAGTATGATGCAAATTCCTTTTGTTCGTGACGTCATTTGTGTAAGCGTGATGATTTTGATGCACCGTTTGAAAGGTCCCAGCATC